AGAACAAACTTTGGGGATGGTAGCCAACCACATCACAGTGCAAAAGGGAATTTTCCCCCTGTAACGCCCCTTTACAGTCTTCAAGCAACAAAGTTCTCTTTAATTTGAAAGCAAACTTATTTAATCTTAATTTAAAAAAAAAAAAAAAGGTTTGGTCAGTCAAGTTTAAATAGCAAAGCCTGCATTTGTTGCAAGCAAAATAATTTAAATCAGCAGGAGCCAGCCCACACAACCACTTAACTAGATAGGAAAGTGAGGCTATATTAACTCTAAATTGTTTCTCAGATATGCCTGAGATCTTTATAAATTTAAAAGAAGATATTACATTCTTCAAGAGGCCAAGATCACCCCATGAAGCATCACCTCCTAGAAAAACACTTTTTTCTTTTTTTTTTTTTTTTTAATTGCTGCATTCTACACAACCCCAATGCACTTCACAACACAAGTTAGACACCAGTGATACAAACGCCATTTAGGAAACTCAGCAGCCACTATGTGTCCTAATAACAATGCACAGATACTTGGGCACTGGAGGAAAAGCAAATGACTCCCGAAATAAGGCTGGAAAGATATTTCTCTTTAAAACCTCAAGTCTGCTACCACCTCCCCACTGTTTCTTAACTCCAAGTTGTTGTTTTGTTTTCCTTGGGATTTTTTTTAAAGCCACTCCTATGTGAAACTTAGTGCGGTGTATATTGTTAGGAGGTATAACACATCTGAAATACTTTTGGGAAAAGGAGAGAAGTTGGAGTAAACAGTCACCTATAAAAGTTATGATATTTCAAAACAAAAGATGTTTTAATTTTGGAAAGGCTAACACTTTTGCCACTGCAAATATTGGACAGCTTGGTACAGGAACTCTCTGCAATCAAAGGATCGCAGCAAGAGGGTATACACTCGCTACACTTTAGATTTGGGAGTTCCTAATAATTTCTACATGTAATGGCCTATAATAGTATGCTGGATTTATCTAGTGCTTTATGAACAGGAAAAGTGGCCACCTTACCATCCTGAGGAGCTTCCATCTCCTTCAGACTGTCACACAAGACACAGGACAACAGCTTGGGGAAGGGAAACTGAGAACATTCTTAATTAAAGCATTCTAACATGTGGCACATTAGTCATTATTAAAACTCTCTAGTAATACCACTTTATGGTAACAGTTACCCATGTTAATTCGGCATCATAGCAAGCTTTGAGTTGAGAAAGAAGGCCTCTCTCTTACCAGGCAGGGGCATTTGGGCAGAAGGGCAGCAGGATTGTTCCTTTTCTTTTTGATTTTAACTTTCACCGGGGAGCAGGAGAGAAGCAGCCTTGATTTACAGCGATGAAGCCAAAGAGAGCAACCGGTGCCCACAGGACATAAGAAAACAGGCCTAATGGCTCCCTGGCCTAAGAGGGAAAGCCAAGAGCCATAGGGAGGTAATTCCCTAGTACCAAAATGAATCAGTTTAAAGACACTCCGATTCCCTGATGTGTCTCCTGGTTCTCAACAGAAAAGACCTTTATTTATACCCAACAGTTGTGCCAATTTAAAGTTCCTGGATGACAAGACTGGTCAGCAGCACACTGCAGATTTCAACACTCACCAATCAGTATTTTAAAAAAAAAAACAACATTAAATCACCCCAAAGCAGAAAAGTAATTTATAAACTCTTGACAAGCAAATAAAATACACACTTCACCTATTAAAGGTGAGATCACCAGGGCAGGGGGAAGGAGGACAACTGGAATCCATTCATGGCATGAAAAGGCTTCCATTAATACAGCAGTAAGCAGCAGTTCAAAACTGAGATGTCCATCTGCTGGACTGAACATGTGTACAAAGGCTTGAGAAGGGAATGGCAGCAGTTGTGTAACTGCCTTGTATAATATAACTCCCCTGGATTTTATGAAATGCTCAGAAAACCCGTCTCAAAAGCTTCAAAAGCCTAAAGGAAGGGTGGTGTCCACATTACCTTTCACTCACCCGAAAGAAAGACAGACAGAGAGATTTTCATGTATTCCAGGCTCAGCACAGCCAAGGCAGCAAGAGGCCAGCCACTAGCCTGACTTTCCCAGAACAGCACAATTCCTCACCCCCTCCTACATCCTGGCTGGAATGGGCCAGGTCTGCAGGACAAGTAGCCAAACCAGTATCCAAGCAGGAAAAGAATGAATGCAAGCTTTCCCCACTGCTAACCTCTCAGTAGCATGTTGTCTCTTTTGTGGATTTTAAATAGTAAAAATAAGACACACGAAATGGAACATTCACTAAAGAGACCAAGTTCCAACTGGAATAATTTATACTTTTCTCTTTTTGCTTTCTTTCTCTAGTGCCTTCTTTTTCTATCACCCACTCCATGGTCTTGCCTCTCTGTAAAAATGTTTGTTGAAAACTGTTTACACATCAAGCTAAGTGGCGAAATCTTGGCACTTAATATTATGCTGAAGTGAAAGGAGGAGAGGAACATATTGCAGAGACGCCACTTTGCAACATTTCATCTCAGAAACAGCAAGTTTCCAAAATGCCACATTTCCACGTACCAAAGTGCCAACTCTGCCATGGGAAACTTCAACACCTACTTCAGGGAGTCCTGTCCCTCTACACCCCTCTCCTTCCTGCAGGGAGCACATCCAGGAGAAAAAAAAAATGCTTTTTCACACTGAGCCACGTCCAGCAGCCCTTGTGATGCATATTACTGACATTTCCCATTTACCCTATTAAATCAATCTACAGCACCAGAGCAACACTATCCCATGGCACCAAAGCACCTCCCATTAGAGCAGTGGTGCTCAACCTTCAGTCCACAGGCTGGATCTGGTCTATGAGCATTGTTACCTGGCCCGTGGAGCTCCCAATGGGTCTGGAAATCTGGCGGGAGGGTAGTGGTAGCAACACTGCTTCCAGGGTGCAGCAATTAATGCTGCCAGTTTCCAGACTCGGGGGGTGCCTCATGGTGCATGCCCCTGACCACATCAGACCAGTGTTACATCATGGCTAGAGTCAGCCTGAAGGGTTGCATCAATGCACTAGATCACCCCCCACATGGATCCTGCAATGGATCCAGCTTGCAGACTGACCCCAGAGGTGGGATCTGGCCTGTGCTACTCATTCAGCCTGTGGGGCCAGAAAGAGGGAGCACTGCTGCAGAGCAACAGTGCAGACTGGTTTACAGGACCACAGGATTTCAAGATGACTTGGGGAGCTGCAGTTAAGCAGTACTGGAATGGCTGAAATTTTAACAAATCTACAAGTGCCTTATCCATTCTCCTAAAAAACAAAAAACAAAAAAGCTACTACAGCAGAAGAAACAAAAGCAATAAGAACCTCCAGCATGGCACATTCATCCCAAAAAGCATATTGGGAGCAGATCCCCTGGCATGCAGAAGTCTAATGAATGCAAGCCATGCATCCCCATGTACAAGGAAACCCAACCAGCCCAAAGCAAAGCCAGCCTGTCAGGTATGGCCCTGGAGGCATTTAATTTTAACCTCAAATTAACAAGCCTCTCAGTAAACACTGACATTTCGGCAAGTGTGCAGAGGTGCATCTGCATAGGCCAAAATTCCCAATGCAGGGTGTCTACTGCGCGGCTACCAGGGTTACCAGCGGTTGTTACAAGCTCAGACTCCAGCAGCTTTCTTCCAGGGCACTAGCGTGCCTGCCCTAGCAGAGCACTGCTGTCAGTCTGCTGGGAAACAGTGTTACGGAGCAAGCACGCTTGCCAAAGTCATTCTTCACCAGGGCAGAAAGCTCTCATAGCTTTAAGGACCCCAAAAGGGCCAGGACTGTCAAAGGGGCTGAAGGGTGTCACACACCCAAATCCCACTGACAGTCAAACTCCCCTCCACCCCCTGACAGACCCAACAGCATGAAAATTAACACTTTAGCCAAGCAACAGCTGAAGTTTCTCAGACATAAATGTGACAATAGTGAATTCATGTTCATCCCAAGAACAGCCATGGCACAAGGGAAGCATGGGACTACACAAAAGAGCGGGCACAAAACTAGCACAACTCCCTTTGGTTCATGACTGTTTGTTCTTAAACTTTGGAGAGAGACAGTACAAAGAAAAATAAGACAATACCTGATCCTCCAAACTGAGTGCTTGCTAGGGTTGTAGGTCTGTTTTTTCCATTAGCCACTGGCAGAGGAAACATCTAGAAAAACAAGAAGATGAAAGAGAAGAGAGAATTCAATATGTTAGTTTTACTGTGCTGCTGTTAGGGGTGGGGGAGAAGAAAAGCCTTTAAGGGTACAGAAAGTTTTCCAACTCCTTTCTCAGGCGATCTATCTAGCAGGCGAGTGAATAGAAGAGACTAGCCCAACTGTAAGCTAACTCAAAGTTCCCCTGTAAGTACATTTTCATGGCACGCACACATTTCCAGTTTCTTCTTCATGGAAGAGCAACTGCTAGAATACTTTTCAGCTTCTCTAAGGTGCTTTCTGCTCACCACCGGTGTGCTAATGGCAAATGATTTATTTTCTCACATTATTAAGGGAGGCATCAAAATCTAGGGTGTTCACAAACCTAGAGACAGATTTGTTCCATTATAAGTAAACTAGCATGAAGGCTGCAGGCCCAGCTCTCTGTCCAGAGAAAAGTTCATCTCCTTGCCTCAAATCACATGCACAGAATCTGGGTTTATTTCCTATTCTTCCTCTTCTGCACCCCCTACACCTTCCTTATCATGATCCCATGTCCTAGGAAAGAGTCAGCAGTGACTGCAGGGGCTCTAACCAGCGAGGACAAAGGTGAATAAACCACAGGCTACTCCTTTGCTGCAGGCCTTCAATGCATGAAGTCCTCATAGGTCTCCAAAAGGTTAATTTCATCCTTTCCTCTCCAGAAAAATGTGAGTCTTATGAATGCACCACCTCTCTCCCCACCACCAACAGACACTAGACTACTGCAAAGCAAGATAGGGGACATTAGGCAAGAATTTGTAGGTGGATGAAGTCTGGCTGATTGCAATATTCTTTAACACATGATTAGAAAGATTAACTTATTTTATATTATCAGTCATTTTAGTTACCTCTCTGCCACAGTTACTGCTACAATTTATAGCTAATCTCCTCCTGCCAGAGAGCTTCCTCAAAAATACTGCATACCTAGTCAGCTAACCTGTATAAATATTTTTAATACAAGTTGGGAGGGTTTCAAAAGCTGTTATTTTAAAATGTATATGCACCTGCATGTAGCAGAAAAGAAAACTAATTCTTCCCTACAAAAATGGAGCTTTAGCTAATAAAACAACTGGTAGGAAAATGGTTGGTAAATTAACATTTTAATATGCTTTTACTAGTCTACTCAGATACTTTCACCATCAAGTCATTTGAATTTATATTATTTTTACCTTTCCAATGTCTGAGTAACTCAAAAGTTTAATGTGCTGCACAATTTTAATGGGATAGAAAACCTACAGAAAGTCAGCATTTCAGGCCTTGACAGGTTTGATGGCTTTTTCGGTCAGCTGTGTTCCTATGCACAACTGTCCATCCAGTTTTAGTTACAAAACCTGGAAATAAGGAAGAAATGGCAGATATTCACAGCAGCAAGACAGACAGGCAACCAATTTCCATTGAAGGTGACTGAATCTGGGCATTTAACTAATTCCCTTAGGGATCTCCAAAAATGTGTGTACGGAAGTATATGCATACGTAGACACACACGCACATTTTCAAACATCCAAACTAAAGATTGACAATATACTTAGATGTTCAGTGTGGTAAAGAAATTAAGAAAAGGAATAATGTTAGTTTAGAGAGATTTTTAAAATCTGGATTACTGAAATGATATTACAACATCAGAAATTCACTCCATTTACCTAAGAAGAGAGCAAAGGAGACATCCTTAATCCACCCCCACCCCCC